AGGCCACATATCAAACGACCACCTAGAACCGACCACAACATGTTAATACTTTAGAAACACAAAAAAAATCAAATCCCATCAATGACCAAATATTGCATATGCCCTTTAATTCTTGTTTAATTTTATTTCATGTTTTAGATCCAATCAAATAATAGACAAATCATAAAATGAAAAACAGTCACGCCCTTGCATGTGGTAATTATTACATTACGATGATAATATAATCTCAAAATAAGATTTTGTTAACAACGTGATTGGCGTATTAATAGCTTTGAACTTCAAATTCACACAAATCAGATTTTATTTGTTCAACAACAAAGCTCCAAACTATATATTATTTTTTATTTTTTAGATACGAGTATGGCCAATAACATGTATTAAAATTGAGTTTGATCACCTTGTAGGGTTGGCTCAAGTGGTAAGCAGCTTGATGCCGTTTAAGTAAGGTCTCGGGTTCGAGTCCTTGTGGCTGCAAAGAACTCTTGCTGGAAAACTCACCCACCACTGCCAGGTGTGCGACCCGGGTCGACCAACGGATTAGTCGGGGCATAGCTCCGGATACCGTGGCCGGCTACCAAAAAAAAAAAATTGAGTTTGATCCAAACATGTCACTATCTCATTTTCCACTTCTAACTATGTCCAGCTCAATACTTAATGTAATTAAGTTATATGGATTTTAATAATTTAGATTTTACCATTATTTTTATAAAAGTCAAATTGAGGATCATGATTTTTGGTAGATATCATAGAATTTTTGTATAGAATTTTGAATTATATCAACTTTTCATATTGAGATTCCGCATTAATCTTAGAGCTTATTTTGGACAACTTTTATTTAAATATATATATATATATATATATATATATCTTAATTTGATTTTTTCAATATGATTTTCTTGAAAACCTCCATCTTTTATTTCTCAAAAATGAACCTTTTTGGTTTGTTTTGTATTTTTTAGAAACTAATTTAAAAATAAATTTATAATTAGTTTATCACCGATGAATTAAGTATATGACCTTTGCATTCCATAGTCTAGTTGACAAAAAATTATATAAAATTAAAACATCTGACTAAAATTCAAATAATTAATTTTCTCGATTTTATTCTGAAAAGACGAGTTGATTCGAGTTTTATATATGAACCACCGTACGTGTATGTGAGACCGTACCAATTTTGAATATTCATGGCAATTAAATGCAAAATTTAGCTGCCACATTTCGTAATTCAATGCCATTTAAACAAAAAATAATAATAATAATAAAAAAAATAAAATAAAAAAATATCCTCAATTTTTTCTTAATGATATAAATTAATTCATCTTAATTTAACTCAAATCCGTGTCTACTAGATACAGGAGCAGGTAATTAAATATTAATTAATGAATCATGCTACACTATGAAATGAAATTTACAGGATTGAATTATCATAAATACACGAGAAATAATTTATTAATTATTTGATGAGATTTTCTATTTTAAAATTATATTTTATTATATTAGACGAGTCACAAGTGTTATTTATAACGACACGATTATACGAGTGTTATTTATTTAACGAAATAAAAAGAACTTGGAACTTGATTTTAAAATAGACTCAATACTCCTCTTGTAATAATAATCAAAACCGTAAGTATTGTGTTAGGCTGACCTAACAATTAAGTAATATATTTAAAAAAAATAAATCATATCTATATATATATAATTACTAGCTAATCCTATTTAATAAAACATTTAATAAAAACATTTTCACTTTCCCTCCAAAAGGAGTTACATTTTTTTTAATTATTTACTCATTAATCCCACA